CCTTGAACCTTTATATACGGAGGCAGGGGCACCCCCTAGAGACACAAGTTGATCCACGTGATCACATTCTTAGCCGTGTGCGGTGCCCCCTTCCACCATAGTCCTCGATAATATTGTAGCGGTGCTTAGGCGAAGCCCTGCGAAGGTAGTACATCAAGATCGTCATCACGCCGTCATGCTGACGGAACTCTTCCCCGACACTTTGCTGGATCGGAGTGCGGGGATCGTCATCGAGCTGAACGTGTGCTAGAACTCGGAGGTGCCGTAGTTTCGGTGCTTGATCGGTCGGGCCGTGGAGACGTACGACTACATCAACCAAACGCTTCCGTTGTCGATCTACAAGGGTACGTAGATCATACTCTTCCCTCTCGTTGCTATGCATCACCATGATCTTGCGTGTGCGTAAGAAATTTTTTGAAATTACTACGAAACCCAACATTTCTGTTTTTTTTTCGTTCGTGAGAGTCACGGTTTTGCTTCCGCGAGAGGCACGGTTGTGCTTACGCGAAAGCCACGGCCATGCCTCTCGGAAAGGGAAAAAATACGCGTTTTCTGTTTTTTTCTTTCGCGAGAGTCATGGTTTTGCTTTTGTGAGAGGCACGGTTGTGATTTCGCGAGAGTCACGGCCGTGCCTCTCGGAAACGAAAAAAACACGTTTTCTATTTTTTTTTCTTACACGAGAGTCACGGTTTTACTTTCACGAGAGGCACGGTTATGATTTTGCGAGAGGTACGGGCGTGCCTCTTTCGGAAAGGGAAAAAAAGCCGTGCTCCTGGTTCGGTTTTTTCGCCCGGTTTTTTTCGTGAAAAAAAAAGTTTATCAAAACCTATCAACATGGGATCTAGTATTGAATATCTCGACGCGAGGAATCCAATGATGAAAACGGTTCGAGATTTGGACGCACAGTTTAAGAGATAAAACATTTTAAATAAATGGATCTACGAAAAAAAGGGAAAACTCGTCAATTGCGACAAGTGGCACGCTGCATATGCGTCACTTGTCGCGACCTGGGAAAATGAAGTGTTCTTTACAACGAGTACTCTTTAATTAATGATTTCGAGATTCCCTATGTCTTGGGATGCCCCTCGGGCGCCTTTTGCGATGGTTGAGCGTCTTGGCGCCCACGCTCGTGGGCTGGCCCAAGAATAAGACCAGCGACCAGCTGGTTTCCCTGTTCACTCGATCGCGCTAACAGGTCAATTATTGACTTTCTTTTAGAAAAGAAAAGGAAACAAAATAGGAAAAATTAAAAAAATCCGGGAATTCAAAAATGTCCACAGATTTGAAAGAGAAAGTCACAAACTTTGAAATAGTTCACAAAAGTTAATCGATTAAGAAAAAGTTAATAGAATTTGAAAAGACCATAAAATTTGAAAAAACTTCATCGAAGTTGAAAAAATAACTATCAAATTTCAAAGTTGTTCATTCTTTTTAAAAAAATCACTAGAATTGAAAAAAGTTCATTAATTATGAAAATAGGTTCATCCAATTTGAAAAAAATTCATCGAAGTTTGAAATTTTTATGCATTTAGGAAAAGAAAAGAGGAACAGGAAAGCAAAAAACAAAAGAAAATGTAGAAAACATAGGAGGGGCATTTCCTGTACGTAGAAAACGAAGAAAGGTATGTATGGGGCCTAGTGGTTATTGCAGTTCCCTCGCAACGAGGAGGTCCCGACTTCGAACCCTGTCGCTTGCACTCACGCATCTTTTTAGAAGTTTAAACCGGAAAAAAACGTAAATAGACCCATCCTAAGTTGGGGTGTGTGTGCCGGTTTGCAGAATGACCTGCAACCGGCCGTTTGATTTAACCATTTTATAAATGTTAAATAAATCTGAATATTTTTTATGTCTTTTTAGAAGTTTAAACAGGAAAAAAAGGTAAATAGGCCCACCCAAAAGTTGGAGTGTGTGTGCCAGTTTGCAAAATAACCTACAACCGGCGTTTAAGGCGCCATATAGGATTTGCTTATCTGGCTTGTAAAGGTAGGAAAAATTTCTGATGTACCGAGCCATCTGGTGCTATCAGCGCACCCGTTCGATTTAACCATTTTATAAATGTCAAATAAATCTGAATCTTTTTTATGCCTTTTTAGAAGTTTAAACAGGAAAAAAGACGTAAATAGGCCCACCCAAAAGTTGGGGTGTGTGTGCCGGTTTGCAGAATGACCTGCAACCGGCATTTAAGGCGCCATATAGGATTTGCTCATCTGGCTCGTGAAGGTAGGGAAAATTTCTGGTGTACCGGGCCATCTGGTGCTACCAACGCACCCGTTTAATTTAACCATTTTATAAATGTCAAATAAATCTGAATTTTTTTATGCCGCAATAGTAACAAGAATACATGTTATTATAGTTTTTCCAAATCCATCGTCAAAACATAATATGAGAAACAAAAATAACATTTTTTTATGATAAGAAAATGGGACGGTTGACTACGCCGCCTCAACGCGAACACGGGGACCAAGAAGGCTACTCCGGCCATTACAACACCTTTCCGGCTGCCCCGACTATTTAAAGCAGCCAGGGCTCGCCGTCAAACCCAATCTCCTCCTCCACACACCGCCACCTATCCTTCTCCCCACTCCTCTTCTCTCATCTGCATGTTGCATTGATGGGCAAGTACGACAGTTGGTAATCGGCGTCGGTGGGTGGATCTACGAGGAGCTCTTGATTGTGGCGCCATCGCCCATGGTTTCCGGCCCGTCGACATCCACCACTTTGATGGTCAAGGAGGAGGTGGTGCTCTTTGACGATGACAAGAGCAGTAGCAGTTGCCCCTCCTCGGCTACGCGTACAGACGACGAATTCGCGACGCAAAATAGAGTTGTTGTTTGTATTGTCGCTCTGCGACCGCGATCCGGTGTTGCACTAGCCACCGCACAACCGCGACATCAAAATTGGATGCAGCGTCAAGGAGGAGCCACCGCATACTTAACCGCGGTGTCCAAATCAGACCCGCGTCAAGGAGGAGCCAGCCTTTCGCCTCACAGCTAGGCCGGCCACTTCATCCAGCTGGCGTCCCCACACGTCGTTTCTAGCACGAGAAGGAGGTGGCGCCATCACCGCCCTAACAACTGTTTGGAAGCCAGGCCGCCCGATGAAGGAGGAGGAGGTGCCCGACCCGACGATCGCCAACGTGCACATCCACATCCTCTACTACCTTGGATGTGGTGACAACGCTTCCTCCTTGCACACTATGATAGTAGCTGAAGGCGGCATCTGAGCAGGCATGCCGAGAGCGGCATTTGCTGCGTCCAACATGACGCCGGACTAAGTCCGCGATGGCCGGGACCTCACGTTGCCCTGGGCTGAGGATCGGCCCAGGACCACCGCGCAGACGTCCGCTCACTGTCGGCGCCGGACGAGTGATCAACTCCTCAAAGTGGGGATGAAGGAGTTCAAGCGCGTCCCGTGCCCTCGCCGACAATGGCAATGTCAAGAGCGTGTCCACGGGTCAACTGTCACCGCTAGAAGGACGCTGCCCAGCGGGGCAGATGGAGGCAACCGAACAACTATATCCGAAGACTTTCCGTTGTTGGAAGGACAACGATGTTGACGAAAGGGACGATGGCGAAGGTACCGACGGTTTAGGAGGCCATGCCTAAAAGGTCACCGGTCATACTTCACTTAGTTTAGTTTAGGTTTATTTTAATTTTATTCGGTTTAGTTTACATATCAAAACTTGCTTCTTTTAATTGTAAATATATCAAAACTTTAAAAAACATTGTTCAATTTACATGAATTTCGTCCGTCTTAAATTACTCATTTAAACTAGTGTGAATATTCAATATCTGTGGTTGGATGGTCAGGTCTCGCTGTCAACCACGTTGGGGTTATCTTTACTTCGTCATGATTGGATGTTCGGCTCTCACACTGTTTCAAAGTTATTTTTACTTGATCATGGTTGGATGGTCGGTTCTCTGTCAACCGGATTAGAATTGTCGCCCCTACCCTTACTCCACGACATCACTAAATCCGCGGTACAGCTGCATTTACTCCACGATGATTGATGGCGCACTACACTACAAAGATCCGCGGTCCGCGTCGCCTGTCCCGTGACCGCTTGCTTGCAGCTGCACAACTTGCTCCCCTCAGTCCTCGCTCTGGGCTAGCTGTTTCCCCATGGACGGCGACGACTGCGACGCCGGCGGCGAGTGGATCTGGGTGCGTCGACCGCAGGAAGCGGAAGCTGCGGCTGCGGCGGCGGGGTGGCCGGCGGAGGAGGCGCGGCCTCTGAAGGTGGTGTTTGGGTCCCCAGCCAGGTACTTCACCGACGCGGCGCCGATCGGGAACGGCCGTCTCGGCGCCTTGGTCTGGGGCGGCGTCACCTCCGAGAAGCTCCAGCTCAACCGTAATTAAACAGACCCCCTTCCCCTCTTCTGAAGGCTTAATTACTCTGCTATAATATCCCCAAATTTAGTGAAAATCTTGTCTTGGGGGTTTTTTGGTCGGGAAGCGCTCTCGTTCCAGCTCGGGAATCAAATTCACCCAGAAACACCACAGCAATAACAATGCTCTTAACAGATGATGATCTAGAACCTCGATTTTAAAACTATGACATCTTGAATAGCAACAAAACAAGACAAGATATATAGCACTTTTACTGAAAGTAGTATGATTTGAAGTCTGGAGTGCACTGTCGGAATGTGTGCATGGTTTTGCAGATCCTTCATGCCAGGATTCTTCTTTACACTTTTTAAATGAAAATGATAGTGATCATATTTATTGATCTTGCATGTGTTCTCCGAAAGTACAATCATACCACTTTTCTGAACAGATGACGTGAAAATTAGGAAGCTTCTTTTTCATTATTCTGTTACTGTTTCCCTATAAGTGAATGATATCAGTCTTTTTTGTCTCCTTTCCCCACTCATGTATACCTTTCACTGTTTCACATACACCTTCACTCATATTAGCTTTCTTTAATATTACCTATCTGTTTATTTTTGTAGAGTTTATTGCTTCATATCAAAACTGTTGATGCAGATGATACATTATGGACGGGCGGACCTGGTAATTATACAAACCCCAAAGCACCTACTGTTCTTTCTGAAGTAAGGAGCCTTGTTGATAAGGGACTGTATCCTGAAGCTACAGCTGTTGCTTATGGCCTGTCTGGTGATGAGACGCAGGTACACATTTTGCTTTAGGTTGATGGAAGAGTTGTGCTGCTATATCGACGTTTAAACATTGCTTATGTTTTAAATGTAGAGTTACCAGCCTCTCGGTGATATTGATCTTGCCTTTGGTGAGCATATCAAGTATACAAATTATAAAAGATACCTTGATTTGGAATCTGCAACAGTCAATGTCACATACAGTGTTGGGGAAGTAGTGTACTCAAGGGAACACTTCTCCTCAAATCCACATCAAGTAATTGCGACTAAAATCTCTGCAAACAAACCAGGAGCTGTCTCCTGTACAGTATCTTTAGCAACACCACTAGATCACCGGATTCGTGTAACAGATGCAAATGAAATAATCATGGAGGGTAGCTGCCCAGGAGAAAGGCCTGCGGGAGATGACAATGCATCTGATCATCCTCCGGGAATGAAATTTTGTGCTATTCTCTACCTGCTGACGAGTGGTGCCAATGGCCAAGTGCAAGTATTAAATGATAAGATGCTGAAACTTGATGGTGCCGACTCAGCGGTTTTGCTCCTTGCAGCTGCAACCTCATTTGAAGGGCCATTTGTCAAGCCTTCTGAATCGACACTTGATCCAGTGACATCAGCATTCACAACATTAAATATGGCCAGGAGCATGTCATATGCACAGCTAAAAGCTTATCACATGGATGATTACCAGAGTCTTTTCCAGCGTGTGTCCTTGCAACTTTCACGAGGCTCTAATGATGTACTTGGAGGTAGCACTTTGGCTCACTTACCTGAGAATATCTCTCAGGATACTGCAGTATCTGATTGCACTGTGCAGATGGTTGACAGTTCAAGGTTAAACGAGCTTAATAATTCAGAGAAGCCTACCGTAGACAGAATTATAAGTTTTAGACATGATGAAGATCCTTCTCTGGTAGAACTTCTGTTTCAGTTTGGGCGCTATCTACTCATTTCTTGTTCGAGGCCTGGAACTCAGGTTTCCAATCTGCAAGGAATATGGAACAACGAGACTAAGGCACCATGGGGGTATGTTTTTACAACATATCTTGTCTTGTTTTGTTGTTTATGTCAGCTATATATCTTGGGGTGTTATTTTTTAGACTATTGAATAAGAAAACGGCTGCAACTGTTCGTCTGGGTCACACTTTGTAGAACTTGTGTATTCAGAGAACACGTCATAAATATCATCCTAATGGGGTCACAAAGGACCAACTCTGTGAAATTGATTGTCCTTGCATGCAGTCTGGTGTTACATGACCATTTTTGCTATGGCAAGCAATAAATTTTAGAAGTTTGAAAAGTCTCATAACAATCCTTAGCTGTTCTGCATCAAAATGAGGAAAATATAAGTGGAAAACATGACAAGTGGCCCTTTCTCTTAATATGTTTTAAAACTATCATGTAGAAGTTAATCTAATTTGCACATTTCACAAGTTAAGAGTTAAGACTAGTCTTTTCTTTTGAACTGAAGAGACTGGCCTTTGGCTTCAGTTTTAAGGTTTAAAGCTGTATTCATTTTTCTGTAGATTAATTAAGGATTCTCGTGTACACACATTGTGATCCTATTACTTGCAAAAGTAACACACATTTGGCCTTTTCGATGCTAAGACACCGAAGTAATTGAGGCCAACATTTTGTGTATCCAGTTGATGTTAATACATACAGGCATGCTCACTCCCTTAAACACATTGGATAATCAGTTACCAAATAAGCATATTGATTAACGCTCATATTCCCATTATTTTTATGTTATATTAGGCACATGGATTGACACAGCATGACAAAACACTGAATACATATGAAGAAAGCCACAAAAAATTAAAATTCCCCGCATTAGTTTCTTAAATATAGGTTTTGGGATTCTTTATATAAAGAATGTAACTTTGATTTTTTTATGATGTAAAAAAATGTAACTTGAATTTTCGGGAAGATAATTTAGTATATTTTTCCTTAATTTCTGGTGCATTCTGAACAATTGATCTACTAAAGGGGTTATCCATCTTTTATTCAAGTAAATTTTGTTGTGGGTAATATTGATTCTCTTGCCATTTGTAGCAACTTAATGCTGAATTTACTGCAGCAAATACCTTAGTGTTTGTAATGTAAGTTATTTGAGAGTATATTGATGATAGTCCTATTTACACTATTTTCTGGCAGTCCAAGTTTGATAACAATATGTCATTCCTTTCACTTGCCAGTACAGCTCCCCATCCAAATATAAATCTACAAATGAATTACTGGCCATCACTTCCTTGCAACCTTAGTGAATGCCAAGACCCACTATTCGACTTCATTGGATCCCTTTCGGTCAATGGGGCTAAGACGGCAAAAGTAAGCCTACTTTCATAAAAGAGAGTCTCTGGAAACAGTGTGTTCTCTACCCTGTATACTCATGAGTGTTCCAACATAGTTTTCTACTTTGTAGTGAATTGAACTTTTATGAATACTATTTCTTGTGGCCATGGCCTATAGCCTTGGATCCTACTCCTAGCAGCATCACTGAGGTCTGACAACAAAGAAGTAGCAGTGATGCTACTAGAAGCCTGGGACCTGCCAGTTTGCACAAGGGGCAATAGTTAGCTGTGCAGTTTCTTCTTTCTATAGGATTTTGATTGCATATGTACATGTCTATAATGCCTACCCCAACTTGTTTGGGACTAAAGGCTTAGAAAAGAAAAGAGAGATGTACATGTCTATAATCTGTCCCTTTGACCCAATAGCAATACAAAGGTCGTTCTGTTGACAGTCACTACTACACGAGGATTGAAAAAGACCAATCTAACAAGGCAATTAGTTATTCAAATATCTGATTTCCACATGATACTGCATGCTACAGTACCACGACAACACTTGCTCCACGACATTATAAGTATATCTAGGTGATAGGGCTTTTCCTCAGTTCATTCTTAGTGTCACTGAGTATCGACTATTGAGTTTTTACTGTTAACGTGACAACGTAAATGTGAATACAAAATTTGAAGTTTGAGAGGCACTTGCCCTTGATCACTCAAGGATAAAGAATTGCAACTTTGTGCATCTTCTTGATGAATCATTTGGACAACTCTATTTAATGGTTTGTGTGTATTAGAATCTAGATGAATTCTACTTCGTGTTTAAACATATTACTAGATTTTATTTTATTCAGTTTACATGTTCCAAATGGATTTATAGCATAGTTTGGAACCTTGTATTTCATGGGAACTTTTTGAGGTAATGATATGTTTTCTTGACAGGTGAATTACGGAGCTAATGGCTGGGTTAGTCACCAAGTCACAGACTTGTGGGCAAAAACATCACCGGATGCTGGTGATCCTTCATGGGCTCTATGGCCAATGGGTGGGCCATGGCTTGCTACACACCTGTGGGAACACTACAGTTTTACAATGGACAGAGTGAGTGATCACATGGGCATGAAATGCAATGCCATGCAGTACTTGTATGCGTTACTTTCTTGTATCACCTTTAAGCACAGATTGTGATCATACGTCATAGGCAGATATGCGAATTACTGTCGCCGCTTGCTTATATTGGAGCCTAATCTCCCTTTATGTTTATGTGATTACACTATCTTATTTGAAGAATTGGTGGTAAAAGGTAGGGCTAAACCAAATATGAGGGATAAGGCAAGCACTAATAAATTTGGATTAGACAAACTGGTTAACTGTACTAAAAGATAACGATGTTTAGCAGCAATGACTGGCCAATAGTGTTTAACTATCCTGTTGAATCGATTGTTGGTTCATCTACCTTTTTCATGTGTTCTGATTGATGGATAATGTCTTGGAGGATGTTGTGAATATATGGTGAATTCCATACTGATAGCTTTGCCGCAAAGTGCAAGCTCATCTTCTGGAGATTGGAGAGACATAAATGTGATATAGACAAGATCAAGTTACCTCAGATGTGATATTCTGTTCTTTTTTTGCAGGAATTTTTGGAGAGAACAGCGTATCCACTTTTGGAAGGATCTGCCTCCTTTCTGTTGTCCTGGTTGATTGAAGGCCAAGAAGGCTATCTGGAGACCAATCCTTCTACTTCCCCAGAGCATTATTTTATTGCTGCCGATGGCAAGAAAGCATCTGTGAGCTATTCAACAACCATGGACATGTCAATTATTAGAGAAGTATTCTCAGCTGTTCTTCTGTCTGCTGATGTAAGTCTTCATTTTTATTTACTGTTGTTGAAAGAGACAGGCTTCATTGAATATGCAGATACTTTGGTGATACTATGAATGAATCATGCAGATTTAAAACGTTATACTAGAGTTATAGTTAAGTCTTATCATTCTGGCATGTATTTATTTGAATGTTTATGTGATGAAATATTCATACGTGCCTTATCAGATTTTAGGAAAATCCAGCACTGATGTGGTTCAGAGGATAAAAGCGGCACTTCCAAGGCTCCCACCGATAAAAATTGGTAGAGATGGTACAATCATGGAATGGGTCTGTATAAACCTTTTATTTTTTTTATCTCTCAAAATGATTTGCATTGGTCTGTTCAGTTTCATAATACTTGTTTTTTATGCGCAGGCACAAGATTTTAAGGATCCCGAGCCTCAGCACAGGCATGTATCTCATCTGTTTGGTCTTTATCCTGGACATACCATGACACTTGAGCAAACACCTGACCTCTGCAAAGCTGTTGCCAATACTCTTTATAAAAGAGGTAACTTTTTGGCATATCAAAAGGGCAGTATTAGAATTTGATCCTTATTTGAAGTTATCAATCTTTAGTTTGGGTTTGTTTCAAAAGAAGTTATGAACTCAGAGAACTTATAGTTAGATGATGACCTCCCGAGATTCCTTGCCATGATGGTTACTTGATCTTGCATGAGCTCCTTTTTGCTGGTCTCAGTCTTTTTTAGATTTTGAGGGTTAACTATTGAAGATAAGAGGAATGGACATATAGAACAAAAGAAAAAAGAAAAAGGAGGAATGCCATTCAGTGACATACTGTAACTGCATTCATCAAAAGCAGTATATGTATAAACACAATTGTTTCAGTAGAGCAAAAATACAAACAACCCACAGCAACTTAAAAACTTCTTAAAACAGATGTTAGCTATACACTTATGCACACGAGCATCAGCTTGGGTGCTCAACAATTTTATTTTTTAAAATTTTATTTTTGGAACGGGGGTGCTCAACAATTTCTTTGTAGAAGGATAGCAAGGTTTAATGGGACTGGATCGACCACTGCTGTTCTCATGTAAAATTGAAATAAGCAGTAACCATGTTCCAAGAGGATAATTCAGTGTTGTCTGTGGCAGAATTTTTTAAACTTCTTACAAAGGTAGCTGATCTTATTTCCCCATGGCCATTTTCTTTCAAATGGCAAACAGTCTAGTGGTATTATTAAGTTGATTTTTTTCTTATGCGGTTTGCTTGCATGACCAGCTGTTATATTCATTTTTCCCACCTTTCAGTTTGATCTGAAAAATACTGTTATTTCAACAACTGCATGGCACTGTTAAGAATGTCAAATTTATTGTGTCTAAGGTCAAGGGCTAGCTGTTAGCCATCACTTTCTCTGTCTTTGCTGCTTAGCACTGAATTCTCTCTATTGTGTAGGTGATAAAGGCCCTGGATGGTCTACTTCATGGAAGATGGCCCTGTGGGCTCATCTTCACAACAGTAAGCATGCATACAAAATGATTCTGCAGCTAATCACTTTGATAGATCCAAAGCACGAGCATGAAAAGGAAGGAGGTCTATACAGCAATTTGTTCGCAGCGCATCCACCATTCCAGATTGATGCAAATTTTGGGTAAACCAGATCACCTTCAACCTAATCAACCATGATCCAATATGTTACCATAGTATGATTACCTTGAATTGTGACACATGAAGTTCCAGCTCTATTTGACAAAACCATTCAATTCACCACAGCCAGCTCTGTTTACCATAGTATGATTACCTCGTGGTGACTCTAAGCTGTAAATTGTTAACCACTTAAAAGAGGTCTAATAATAGTGACTGCTACTTAACTGTGACGATCGATTCACAAACATCACAATGATTGTCTTCTCTTGCAGATTCCCAGCTGCATTGTGCGAAATGCTTGTGCAGAGCACCGGGAGTGATCTGTACCTGCTCCCTGCTCTGCCCCGCGACAAGTGGCCCCATGGCAGCGTTAAAGGTTTGAGGGCCCGAGGCGGGTTGACGGTTAACATCTGCTGGAAAGAAGGTACCCTCCATGAAGCTCTTGTATGGTCTGGCAGCAGTGGGAACTCGCTTGCGAGGATCCACTACGGTGATCGCTCTGCCGTGATCAGTGCCTCCCCAGGCCAAGTTTACAGGTTCAACTCGGAGTTGAAGTGCTTGAAGACTTGGCTACTGTGAGAATGCACGTGTGCTGGTTCTGCGAAATCTGAAGGCATTATCTGTTGCAACAAAATTTACTGAATTCTCGGTGAGAACAATAATGGAACTATATCCTAAGGCACAGCCTGCTGTGACAAAATTTACTGAATTCTCGGTGACAACAATAATGGTGCTATCCTAAGGCACAATCCGGTGTGACAAAATTTACCGAATTCTCAGTGAGAACAATAATGGTACTGAATTCTCAGTGTGAACAATAATGGAGCGATCTCGTTGAACCTTTGCGCCGATTAAACTTCTTTATTATTCCGCTGAAGTTTTCTTGGGTTCTTTTCTTTTAAAATAAATAACGGGTGCATGTTCGTTGCGTGCATGAAGTCCAAAAAGAACCATATGGTGAACTTGCCCGATGTAGTCGCTTTGCACCCCGTGGTTTGAATATACCAACCCAATTATCATTCAAATCTAGCACTCACTCCTCTTCTCTCTATAGTGCCTAGCCTTATTCTTCCTCCAATTGTGCGCTGCCCGTGGAGATTAAAAATTGCAATGAACCAACAGTAAAGGAAAGAGATGGTTACAAACACCCTACTAGAGTTTAAAGACTACAATAAGCGCTCGCCGCTTGATATGAGATTTAGAAATCACTGAAAGAATCGTTGGTTGGAGCGTCACCTAATGCAGAACAGGCTTGCAATTCATCACCACCAGTCTAGAGAGTAGGAGAAACCGAACCATGCAGCATAACAACATGAAAGAAGATGTCGAAACGTCGCACAAGTAGCCAGCCAAATGCTCTCCTTGATAGACACATCAACTACCAAGATCCGAAGAGAGCCAACATATTTGGCGACACAAGTTCTCACAGGCCCTTCGTCGACGCCGGATTGGACATCATTGATATAGGGAGGGGTCAGAGTGACCTTATTCCAATATGTCATCGGCGCGACCATCGATGCCACCAGGAAAATAAAACCTAAGAAAAAGAAAATCAAAACAAACGAGGCTCCACTCCTCTTGCTACATAGTACGAGGATCTCAGACAGGGGAGAGGAGAGGGATCTATACATGCATGCCTACCAAGCTCATATATAGTGAATTCCGGGTTTTACCCCCTGTTTTGACATTTTTATACTAATTATCCCATTTAGCGAGATTCCGTCTGTTTTACCCCATCTAGAAAAAGTGTTGCCACAGTTTACCCTGTTTAAAATTTTATGAGCATTTTGACCGGCGGGTCCTAGTTGTCAGGTCCACTTGGCATGCCGCATAGTGGTTTCCTCCTGCCTACTTTTCTCCTTGCCGAACTGGTCCTCGCAGCTTCTCCTGGCCTAACTTGCAGAACTTAAAGGCACTGAAACACACAATCAACTAAGATTAATGCTGCAATATCACACCGTTAGGACATCTTCAACACTGACCTATAAATTTCTCCGGTGTTTGTCCGATTTTATGTTCGGACGTGGTTCGCAGACATGATACGAGAGAGAGCAATCCAACGCAAATTGCAAAGTATTTGGCTGAGAGGAGAAAAAGTAGGTGAGGACCATGCATGTCGTGGAATATTTGTGGGTTCGAAGGAGAGAGAAGAGAGGGGACCATGCATGTGATTGCTCAATTGCATGTCCAGGCTCCGGCAAAGCTCCCCTGTTTTTGTCTCCAAAATACCAAAATTTGACATCCGGACAACTTCCTGGACTGATAGAAGTCCCCATTGAACTGCAAAAGTGAACAAATGTGTCCGGCCGAAAATATATCGGTGTTTTACAGGTCTCCCATGAGATGCCCTTAGGTCATTATAATTGCACCTAATTAAATATAGGTTGTAATCGTTAAATCTATATAGTTATTGCATCTAGACCAATCATATTAATCAAATCTACATGTCATACCTAATATGTTAGGCATTTATAATTGTACCTAACCAAATCATAATTCATTATATATTCATATCTTCAAAAAAGGGTAATCTTATCCGACAGACAATCATATCGCACACAGGCATATGTCTTGTCCGTGGAGGAGATTTCAGCTCTCTAAATACTCTCTCTCCTCCCGTTCTAGAGTCGGTATATCACTTTGGTGGCTGTGTTGATTTCATGGTTGGTGACATCGTACGAGTATCAGTATCCCCATGGTTCTGTGTACTGACAATGCAAACACCTGGACTTTTGCCAACTTCGCAGTAGCGTTTGGTGCTTATGAAGGCAACCTATCAAGGACTTGAACTAGTTAGACAGGAAGCTAGTCACCATTGGGATTTGTACGACTAAGATGCTACTCGACCAGGTGAGTACCACGCCCACTTCCCAGTAGCGTTTGTTACTTATGAAGGCAACCTATCGAGGACTTGAACTAGTTAGACAGGAAGCTAGTCACCATTGGAATTTGTACTTTTTTTTTTCAAAAGTACGCGAATGCGTACCTTGTTTTATAGAAGACGGAATTGTAATTACAAGACAACTACGACTTGTTACAAATAACAAGCGTAGCATAGACTCCACGACAGGGCTGGTCCGAAGACAGCCACCACCAAAACACAACTACAAAGCAAAATAAGCCTAACATCGTCGCGTCTCGACCAGCGCCGGTCACCTCCGTAGACAACAATAACTCCAACTGTACTTCCCTCGTCGACACACCATCCACCCTTGATGTCAAAAGGTAGGTGGCAAGTAGATGGCGGAAATTGGTCGGTACACTAAAGCACCGTCTTGATCTCACCGGCTGCGACGTACATTACTGAAAAAGGGTTTTCTCCCGCTTTGTATTCCAAAGCAACCAACACCGAGTACAGATAACGCTGTGCCGAGCAGCACAACACACCAAGAGAAAAAGAAGAAGAAACAAATGCCAACCACGGCAGCTTGGCAAAGCGCGGATGACCCGCCACCGCGGCGTCCACCGGAAACAAAACACCACATACCGAGGCTTCGATTCGCCGCGTACCAAGCAGCACCTTCAAGAAGGAATCCGACGCCGACGACGCTGCTGCCCGGACGAGTCCTCAGGTTTCCCCGGGCACGCGGAGGGAGGTGGGGGGTGGATACCACCGACACCCTCCAGGGAGGAATGGTGGCACCCGCAGGTGTCACCGCGTTGGGGCCGAAGCCGGCAGGGATTTCTCCCGCATTCCAACCCCAACCGCCCAACCGAACGGAACCGACCGCCAAACCGTCGCCCAACACCATCGCCAACGTAGTAGCGCCGCCATCCAAGCCGCCTCACTACAAACACCACCACGAGGCCAAGAGGATCGGAGAGAAGCTCACCACGACGGGAGCAGCACCATCGACGCCGAGCGGGAGGGAACCACCTCCACCGCCGTCGTGCGGGAAGCCCGTGCCTCCGGCACCGTCGCGGTAGCCGTCCGGACGCGGTAGCGGGGCATGCCGGGCCACCCCTGGCCCAGCCAGGCCCGAAGCGGGCCCGTTAAGCCCCGCCGGCCATGATGCAGCAGGTCGGCGTCGTCGCCGCCGGCACCCAGCCACGCGTCGCATCTTCCTCGCCTCCCAGAAGCCACACCGGAGCCATCCCCGCCGCCGGCCCCCCCAGGCCCAGATCTAGGCCGAGCGGACGACGGCAGATCCCGCCGCCAACGGCGGCGCCGCCGCCCAATTGCTCGCCTGCATGCGCCACGGAGCCCTGCCGCCACGCCAGACCACCGCCGCCTAGATGCACCCCCCGGAGCCGCTCCGCCTGCGCCGGAGAGCG